CCCCCCCCCCCTTTTAATTCATGTTTGAGATGAAGTGGGTGGAGGTCCAGCAGCCTCAGGATCAGTTTCTGGAGGGCAAGCATCAATTTTTCATTTTGTTAGTCCCCAAAGCATTGACCTTCCTGAGCTTACTCTCTTCCCTTTGGATCTGTGTGGAAATTCAGAGTTACCTCCAGGATGTGTTCTGCTCTCAGGCCCTGGTGTCTGCTAAGCTCCTATGACTCGGCTTACATTAGGGAGAGAGGAAGGGCTTCCAGCTTGTCTCAGTTCCTGGAAGGATCACCTGAAGATCAACTGGAACCAACTAGGCTGCTTACATTTCTTGGCTTGGAGTTGGGAGGCTTTTGAGGGCTTTCTTGGGAAGTTTTGTGGCGTAATAGGGTGGAATTTTCTCTGCCCTTTTTCTGGTAATCCAAACTAATGTACTTTAAAACAGTATTTATCTTTAATACTACAAATACAGACCTTTTATTTTTTAAAATTCATCGGACACTAGGCAAGTAGAAATTACCCTTTATCTGGCTTCCATTCCAGTTCAAGGCAACAACTGTTGTCAGTTCGGACGTGCCCTCCCAGACCCATTACCTGCAGCCTTGTTTTCCCTAATGCGGGATTCCTGTCTTTCTTGTTCCGTGCCGTTAAGAGTTCTCTTTCCCCTCCTTTTCTTCCCTTTCCTTCCTGTTTCAGTGGGAATTAGAGAGGAAAGGGAGGTAGCTGTTTGAATTTTACTGTCTTAAATTAGAACTTGGTGGCTGTTTTTCACTGAGCACAGAATACCCAACTTTCCCACAGTTTACCCCCCACATGCCCCGTCATGGAAGCCTCTGCTGATGAGGTAACATGCAGGAGCTGGCAGAGTTTTTCAGCATCAGCTCCTGACATCATTGTGCTGTAGTTGCTACAGTCAGTTTTATTTTGGCATTGTTGTTATGACTAAGTACACCCTCTGGACCAACACCCAGACGTCTTGGTTTTGCTTGACTGGCTTTCCTTGTGTATGTGTCTCATCACCTTTCTCCATACCCATCTTATCTTCTCTCTTTGTCTTGCTTCCTTTCTCTTCATATTTTAAAAAGAGCACATTTCCCCTCACATTTACAATAAAAATGTCTTAGGCTTAACTATGTAATAACCTCGCTGTATGTATTTTGTAAGTTATTTTATATCCATTGTCTGAGTCAGTCCCCCTCAGAGCCTGTGGCATAGGTGCAGCAGGTAGTGTCCTCCTACTACTGTGCTGACCACCTCGCCACCTTTGGTTTCCCTGATCACCAAGTTGAATGGGTATTTTCCAGATTATGAGAAGTTTTTTTACGTTGATATGCAACTTCATTTTAAACTTTACCCTTTCCTGTTGTGTAGACATTATCTTTATTTAATTTATTTATTTATTCATTTATTAAATTTATTGGGCTGACATTGGTTAGACATTATCTTTAAAACTTTGTATTTATTTTCTTGGATAATTCACCTCTCCCCCCCTGTGCCTCAGTTTCTTTGTCTCTAAAATGAAAAGCATTTGATAAATTGATCAAATGAATTCTCTAAGATGTTTTTTAAACTTAAATTCTGTGATTCCAATTAGGAGATTTTGTTTCTTCACATACCAGTGTGTGGTTGAGTTATATCTCCAGTATATTTTCTTTACATGAGATTGCTAAAAGCTGTCTTCTTTTAACTGTTTTAATGATTCCTTTTTGCTTACTCTCTTAGGGAAAAGTATTTACTTCCCTGGAGCCAGAACATGACATTAATGATGTCTGCCTCTATCCCAACTCAGGTATGCAGCATGTGACCACGGGCCATGCAGGGAGACAAATCCAAGCTATGCTCTATTGGGTTTTACACTAATTTTGTTTCCTAAGACGGGGTTTGGCTTCGTCAGGACAGTTCTTGGATACTGTACGTACTTGAAGGATCAAGAGCAGGAAGTGGTGTGGGTGATTCAGAAAGTAGCCTCTCGGTGACTCAGTCCTCAGCCAGCCTGGCTGGTAGCAGAAACTGGTAACAGGACGTAGGCAGGTGGCAGGTGAGATGCTGCTTTACTGAGCTCTTCAGCTTTCTTATGTGATGAGTAATAGTGTGTGGCAATCTAGGTTAGGGATTAGGAGAGGGCCAGGGTTGCCTGATAATACACATGGCTATGAAACCGTGAGTTTTGGTGTGTTGTATGCAAATTACAAGGTAGATTTCAGGATCTAACAATACCTTCAGGGCCAGTTTGTGAAGAATTTGGGGGTATGAAAGAAAATGAGAACAGATCCCTTTCTCAAGCAGTATTGTACTCTGAGGACAGACATACAGGTAATTTTGATAGAGGGATACAGGCAGAGCAGGCAAAGTTCTATTGTGTGTAGATAGCACTTGGACAACGGGTTAGAGAGAGACTCAGCAGGGCAGCTAGAGGAGAGCATGGAGATGTTTATCTGCATTGAGTGTGCAGTGATGAGTGAGGGGACGGGAGGGGAGGGGAGGGGAGGGGAGCATAGGCTAGGGCTTGGTCGGGTCGGGTCAGGTCAGGCAGGGGAGGGTAGAATGGGCTATGCTACGACATGATACCATACAGTTTGACTTGACATTGGGGCCCATTTGGGGAAGGCGAGGCACCTCTTTCCAGGGTGTGGTGGCCCTAGGAGGAATGAAGTTGGAAGGCGGGAGGCGGACAGGTGGTGGAGGTCCAGGAAGATGTGCTGGAAGGTTTAGGCTCTGTGGTCTGGACCTGCTCAGACTGCTTTCAGAAGGCAGTCCTGTCCATCGTGTGGAGGGTAGATCTGTTTTGAACTAATTTGAGTAGGAAGTGATATTCTGAGCTGAGATTGGGAGCACAGAGAAAGAACAAGTTTGGGAGAGAAAGATTATTCTTTTTTGAACGTTTGAATATTAGGACGAGCTGGGACAGTGGCAGTGTCTGACAGCGGGTCTCAAACCTGGCTGCCCGTCAATATCACCTGGGGAGCTTTTTAAAAAATAGATTCCTCGGCCCCGTCCCAGGTGTACTGACTCGAGAGTGTCCAGGGTGGAGGCCCAGCAATGTGTGTTTTTAACATGCTTCCCACGTGATGGTGCAGCTGCCACACCCTTGGATGGGGATCCACGTCCAGGTCACAGGAGAAAGTGTGGTCTTGAGATGAGCAGGTGTGCAGATGCACATTTTCAAGACACGTACATAGAGGTTATCCCAGAAGAAGTGGGAGTGCGTGAGATTGCCAATGTTGGGAAGATGGAGAGACAGGAAGAGAACAGGACCTCTTATGGCAGAATGACAGTGAAAGAGCCAGGTTTTTGAAGTAGAATAGGAGCTTAGGAGCGATTCGGTGGGCATTGCCCAGCAAGGCCTAAGTGTAACCGAAGTTGAGGCAGGATGGAAAGCTGAGACTTATTAGATGCTCGTGTGCTACCAGTCTGAGTGCTGTCACATTCATTCATCATTTAACGTTTAAAAGACGGCATTTAAAAGACAGCATCATACAAACTCTATATATTTTCCAGGATCAACTGTACAAATAATGGTTTCTTTCCTTTTGCCTGTAAAAAAGAACGTATATGCTTAGGTTTCTGAGTATTTAATCTTTGTAAAACCCTGTGTAGTTAATGGCACACAGTTTTTGTTTTTTTCTCTTCTCTTTCTGTCCATCTGTCCATCTTTCTTACATCTCTGTAGGTAAGGAAAATGGGGTGATTTGCCCAGGGTTGGTCACACCCAGGTGTGTGGCAGAGCTTTGGTGAAGCCAACCTTTCCTGATTCTGGAGCCCAGCCCTTTCTAGTTACATGCTACTCTTGAGAAAGATGAGAAACGCTGGGTCTTTGTGGTTAGCTTTTCATCTGTGGTAGTCAGAGGATTTTGTTCTGATAGTGGGGGGCGAGACAGATTCTGATCGATTCAGGAATAAACTGCAGATGAGGGTGCTGGGGTCCTAGTCAGTGTTGAATGGTCCAAAATGGGGTCTGGGTAGGTCTTCAGATGAGCAAAACCAGGTGGAAATGAAGGTGGAACAAAGGTGATGCACAGGTTTAGCTGGACTAAAGGAGAGTCTGAGAATGGCAGACAGTGATGCGAAAATTGTAGACTGGCACTGTCCTTTTGGGTGCCACCAGCCACATGTGGCCACTGAGGACTTGCAGTACTACTCTGAGTTGAGGTGGGCTCTAAGTGTAAAATGGACACCAGATTTTAAAGACATTGTATAAAAAAAGGAATGCGAAGATCATTAATTTTTATGTCAATTACATGTTAAAAGGAAAATGTTTTGGACTTACTAGGCTAATAACATGTTAAAATCACTGCGTGCCTTGCGTGGTATTTGTGTAGGGCAGTGGTGGTCTAGACCTAGACATCCCTAACAGCGAGGATGCTGATTGGGTGCGAGGTGTTGGAAGTCGGCTGCGGGCGTGGCGGTGCTTCCTCCGCTGAGTGCCCACAGGCCTCGTCGGAGGAGAGCTGCTCTGTGCTTCCTGTAGTCGGAGTGCGCTGGCCCACCTCACATGTCGCTTCCGTATCATCTCACATCTGGTCCACTTCAGGTTTCCCCAGTTGTCCCCCAGATGCCTGTTCAGCCCTCTGTTAAAAACTAGGATATTGTCAGAGTGTGAATTGCTTCGGTGGTTGTGCGTCTTTAGTTTCTTTCAGTCTAGAGTGGTGCACTCATCTTTTTTTCTTTCTCCATGACACTGGCTTTTCCAGGATCTGGTCAGTGTTTTGTGGACTGGCCCTTGCCCCAGATTCATGTGATGTTTTTCAAGGTCTCAAATGTTAAACTTGCTCCTCCAGCTCCTGTGCTTTTTTTCTAAAATAGAAGTTGGATCTAATGGCACGATGCACTGTAGGTTAAATATTCTGGGCAAGGGTAGTGTGCAGATAGGGCTATTAGATTCCATATTGGCCTTTTCAGGTGTAGCTACACATAGCATTCCCCTTAGGTTGTTTTGTTTTCATTTAGGTGAACTTTACCTGAAATATTAGGAACGACTTTGCTGTGACATTTTGTGGGGAATACTTTACATCAGTTCTTTGATTCCTGATTGACAGAAAGAAGCCTTTCTTCTTAACTCCCTCATTTTTATTTATAAGGAATAGTATATTGAAACTACATTTTACCTGTGTGTCTGTCTGAAGTTTAAAACTTTCCCCTTAAAAATGATGGCAACTGTATGTCAACCTGAGCACTTTATGGGGGAGTGCTCCTTTCCCCAGCTAGTGCAGGTGCTCTCTCTCAGCCTTGAGGAGCCCCATCGGGGATGGTCAGGACCAGAAGCCCATGACCTGACTGAGGGTACCCTGATTCAGGGTGCCCTGGCTTAGGGTGCCGGCTGCTGTGCACTGTGTTCTGGAAAACAAGTAGAAAACAAGTTTCTTTTCCCATGTATTTACCTTCTCATTGTGGTTTTTTTTTTTTAGGAATGCTTCTTACTGCCAATGAAACCCCCAAGATGGGCATCTATTACATTCCAGTAAGTAGTATGAAAAGGAGTGAAGCTAAAAATAGGACATGCAAAGGTACTTTATTTTAAACTGGACAGATTGAGGGACTTTGGGTCTACGTGCGACCATGTCAGTCACACACTGTGGTTCACTTTGCTCCCTGGAGCCAATAAAACAATGCTTAGCCATTCCTTTATGGGAAGCTGCTTAATATCCCACTGAAATGGACAGTAGGAATTAGTCTGTATTCATCATATTTACATTTGTTTTTTTGTTTTCAGGTATTCATAATCTTGAACTTTTTTTTTTTTTTTTAAATTATCTTTATTGATTTCAGAGAGAGGAAGGGAGAGGGAGAGAGAGAGATAGAAACATCAATGATAAGAGAGTCGTTGATCCACTGCAGCCCGCAACCCGGGCATGTGCCTTGACTGGGAATTGAACCCTGATCTCCTGGATCCTAGGTCGATGCTCAACCGCTGAGCCACGCCCGGCTGGGCCATAATCTTAAACTTTAAGCTATTAGTGATCAAGGTCAAATTCTGAAATAAAAGTCTAGTACTGTTCCAGTCACCTCACTGTAATTTGTTTCTTTTAAAAATAAGTTGCATATAAAGAAACTTCTAGATTGCCATGAGCAACAATGACATGCAGTTTGCAGTCCTGTCCTTTTGTTTGTTTCTTAAAGAATTTTTCTCCTACATGTGCTGGAAGCTTTCCCACCCCTTTACCTTTGAGTTTATAATAGGAAAGAAACTTGGGAAATGCGATCGTAAATAGAACACCGCATAGTACAAAGTTGGTGTTAGATTATGGTTGGCAGACACCTCCCATTTCTGAGATTTGGGGAGGAGAGAGAGGGGTGAGGGGTGTTGAAGATCAGAACTAGAGTGGTGAGCTCTCTAGAGCCACAGTCAGCCTCCATTTATGAAAATTCTTCATGTTTATTGTGGGCCTTTTATAATGGCGCAACCATGTGTGCACTTCCAAAACAAAGTTTGCTGGTCGCTGTGACTTTCTGTGGTTTTAGGAAACCAGTTTGTTGTTGAAAGCACCTTGCAGTGGTCCTTTTAGTTGTTAGTAGAATGAAGGCCATTCAAACAGTGGCTTTTCCATTTTCCTAGGTTATTTGTTCTTTTTGCCTGAACTCTCACAGACGCATCTTTCGCATTCCTGTCAGTTTATCGTCTTTCCTTGTCTTCATCTGTTCAGTGTTTATTGATGGCGTCAACTGTGTCAGGCACAGTGCTATATGCTGGTGGTATGACTGAATAGGGTACTTCCCCTTTCATCCAGGGGTTCATTCCTCCAAGAGGTGAGGCATAGCCCAGGATGGGGCTGGGAACTGGTGGAAGTGTGGAGGATACTCAGAGGAACCTTCCAGAGGAGTTGACTGCTCCGGAGAGACCTGAGGATGGCTGTGTGAACTGGATGGGGAGGGCGGGTGCAGAGTGGGAGCAAGGTCTTGGAAGTAGAGGGGACTGTGTGCAGAGTCAGAGAGGAAGGAGTCCACATGGCTGAGCATGAGAGCAATGGGGATGGGGTGAGATCTGAGGCTAAAGAGACGCTCACAGTCAGGTCGCCAAGCTCTGGAAAGCCAGGTGTGGCGATACTGGGCACACAGTCCTGGAAAAGGTGCAGGTGGGAGTGGCAGGATCAGATTTACATTTGGGAGGCTACTTTGGCTGTGCCACCAGGAGAAGGGGTTAGATAGGATCTCGTCCGGAAGCAACAAGAACAGGCTGCAGCCCTCCTTTGGCAGGTGATGGGACCTGCATTACCTGGGCCAGGCCTCCCATTTGGGGAGTTGGAGCTCCTGGGGCTCTGGTACAATTTAAGAGAAGGTGGTAATTTCAGAGGCTCGCTGTCCTTGAGTGACCAGTTGGCACACTCCCAAGGTGTTCATCGATGGGGCCAGCATAGACGACAGGACTGCCTTCCCTCACCCAGCATTTCAGGGTCTTCTCACTGGTCAGCCCCTGTGGGAGCGCTGTCAGTAGAGGCAGCGTAAGTCACGCCCCTCGCCCTGGGGNTAAAGAGACGCTCACAGTCAGGTCGCCAAGCTCTGGAAAGCCAGGTGTGGCGATACTGGGCACACAGTCCTGGAAAAGGTGCAGGTGGGAGTGGCAGGATCAGATTTACATTTGGGAGGCTACTTTGGCTGTGCCACCAGGAGAAGGGGTTAGATAGGATCTCGTCCGGAAGCAACAAGAACAGGCTGCAGCCCTCCTTTGGCAGGTGATGGGACCTGCATTACCTGGGCCAGGCCTCCCATTTGGGGAGTTGGAGCTCCTGGGGCTCTGGTACAATTTAAGAGAAGGTGGTAATTTCAGAGGCTCGCTGTCCTTGAGTGACCAGTTGGCACACTCCCAAGGTGTTCATCGATGGGGCCAGCATAGACGACAGGACTGCCTTCCCTCACCCAGCATTTCAGGGTCTTCTCACTGGTCACGCCCCTCGCCCTGGGGGAGGTCTTTTCACCCTCTTCTCGGGAGTGCTTACTGTGTTTAGATCTTCAGCCACTGCCCGTGAGCCAGTGTCTTCAGTGTGGAGCCTTCCCCATGTCAAAGGCAGGCCAGTCAGCCAGCGGGAAGGTCGACGCAGCCTAAGGTAGAGCGCGAGGGCTGCCCTGGGGGGCTGCCTGACAGTGAGAGCCCCTGGGGTGTGGGGCAGCCCTGAGTGCTTTAGCAGTGCGGCCATCTGACCGGCTTGTGCTAAGGTGGTAGCGGTGTGGATAGAATTGGAAGGACTGTTAAGGTTGTGAGATAGGCCTGGTAACCGATCAGATGTGGGAAGTAAGGAAGAGGGAGGAACCGAAGGTGGCAGCCCGGTTCGTGCCCGGTAAGCATGTGGATGAGGAAGGCGTCCCCGAGTCCGGGAGAGAAAGTACAAATTACTTTCCCTTCTCCATCACGTTCCACGTCTTATGAAATGACCTTTAAATGCAACAAACATACGGCTTTTTTTATTATGCCACAGTGTATGTATATTCCTATTTATCCCACGTGTTACAAAGTAGAAAATAATAGCCACTCTTTCCCCCTTGATATTGTAAGCACTGTAGTATTTGGATGTACTCTCTTTCAGTTATGGTTATAATGTTATGGGTGCAAAGTCAGAGTTTATATAAAAGTTTGTATTTGTAGAAATATTCTAAGGTATTAAAATTACTTAAGATGTGTTTAGTGGTGTCCATCACAGAGTCTGAGAACTCTAGGAGTTCTTCACTTCCCACTCTCTGGGTCTATTTCTCAGGGTGGGTTTTATGTTCCAGGTAGTGGGGACCCTCATTAGCATGCGTGAGAGGGGCCGGATGCTAGCCAGGCGGTGAGAAACTGCTTTCTTGGCAAGTGTTAGCTTATCTTATAAGACTTTAATTTCAACTTTCTAACTCAGATTTAACGGGAAGCTGTGAAAAAAATCCAGAGATGACTCCCAGGCTACTGTGCATGTGGGGACGGTGCAAGCATAGTTATTCTTGCTTAGCTAAGCTTTGTGCTGAAACTTGTCCTCAAGGGTTCCTTCCTGACCTACCTTTTCAGCCTCCTCCTTGCACTGAGAGGTTCTATAGTGCCATTGCCTTTACTTGGAACCAGTAACCCTTCTTCAAAGCAGGAGTGCCCAGGGGCCTGAAAGCCTGCCATTTTCATAAGATTTTATCAAACTTACCAAGCTGATGTTTGGCACAAAAGTTTATTTGAGACCCACAGAACAGAGAGACATTGCGTACGTGATCCATGCCAAGCATAGGTTTGGACTGCGATTTTTGTTGATATCAGCTATGGAAACGTCCTCCCTTTGGGGTTATGCTAAGAATGAAGACAACCTAATGTTCTTCTTGCTTGTTTTAATTTTTGCCTTTCTGTCTGATACCATCTTTCTTGAATACTTGAACTCTTTGTAGATTGAATGCAATTCCTGGTTTACTCTCTTACTCTCTTATGGGGTCACTTACCTGTCCCACTAGCTAGCTGGTCTCTTATGATCTCAAGTGGATTTTCTCCGGTCTTTCCCCCATTTTCTCAGTCATTCTCCTATTTTGCCTCCTCAAAGACCAGGATTCGTTAACATGTTTGTTTGCTTTTTAAATTCTAGGGCCTAATTCAACTGCAGCCTGAGACTTAATGCCAGAAATTGTTTTTCAAGTTTGGTTTTCCCCTGAAATGTAATTTAATCTAAGGTTGGTTCTTTATAATTAGCACCTTTGGCAACTGTGTGGACTCCAGAGGGACTCCAAGTCTCCCTTGGCACCCACCCCAAACCCAGCCAGGACAGTTGGCATAGTTTCTGCTGGAAATGTTCCAAGAGCCAAGCCCCCCACTTATCCGCCAGCTCCTGAAGCCACTCATTACTGGGTAGTTGATTGCCTGCCTGATAGCATACATGCCAGCAGGTAATCCTTATACAGTAGGCCAAGGATCAGGTCCTGTGCTCTGACAATGCATTCTGATCGGCCGGATTGAGGACCTGGTGTGATGCAGTCATCGTGTGGGGAATGCGGACGGGTTTCTCAGAGTAGGGCCTGGTCCAGGAGATTTCATGGCGATGATTAGGAGGCCAGACTCTTCCGGAGGAAAACACAGAAGGAGAGTGTAAAGTAAGGACATTTAACTTTTGTTGGATCATCTTTAAAGTGTGTCCAAAAGTTGGCTTTGCACCTAGGACTTCCTTGTTTTTCTCCGTGTGTGTACCGTGCTTCTAAGCGGGAGCTGCTGGAAACACTGTATATGCTCCTTCCTGAGATCTGGGTTTTGATCTGGACCATAATTGACCCAGTGGGTACATTTCATTTAAAAGCCAATACTGAAGGCTCACATACATTTACTAATTTGATATTCGCATAGTTCCCCAGATATGAGAGCTCTTTGGCCCACTAGTGTATGTTGAAATGGCCCTGAATATATTAGTATCCATGTAGAACCCTAAGAGTGGTGATCACATTTTTATCTAAAACGCTCGTTTAAGCTGAGAGCTGTTAGACACAGTGACAGAGTGATTTTGTTAGATTTTGTTACAGTGCCTGTAGCAA